CAAGGTCGAGAACCTTGCTGCCAAAGCCAGTCTGTGCTTCTCTAATTCATGGGGCATGGGTCTTCTATTTCTATGCCACTTTATGTATAATCATACATTTCCTGTGTGGAAGCCACAATTCCGGGGCTATTCCACTGAAGAGGAAGAGTACTTTGATGTCTATAGCCTTCCTACACCATGACCCAAAATCTATGTTTGCAAGGCAAATCTCTGGCCTCTGGTTGTGGTGGAGCAATAATAAATTTAATGCAGCCAATCATTATGATAATGAGGTTTGGGCCATAGCCAACAATTCACTAGGACAAGAGACTCTTGACACTGGAACTAAAACAAAGGCAGTCCTCAGCATCTCCTGTGACATCCCCGAGACTTACATTCCTTTTTATGTCATTCAGCTCATTTTTGGAAGCCTTCAGGGTCAGATTCCTCATATTCATAATGAATCCCTCACCGACTTCTCGCCCCTGTGTGCTCATGATTATTTCACAGGCTTACAACCCTCTAGTTTTGACCCTTGGGGGCCATGGGCTTCCACTATTTTGGCCAACTCTAGTAGTCTCCCAACCTCACATAAACACTCTCAGCAGTAAGGATGGTCCCCTGGATTCTCACTGGCTGCAACTGGGCAATTTTTCTTTGTGGAACAAATGTGTGCTTGGCTCTGCTGAAGAATGGAGAGGGTGCACAATAATTGCAACTATACCTGACGTATTGACTCTTAACATACTGTCTTCCTCACTCCCAGGCAGCTGCCTGACCCAGGTTCCTTCCTGGATGTGTCACTATAGCAATAGCCTAGGAGCCAGGTGCCCCAGACCCCTGATTTCAGTGGGTCATCCACAGATAGTATAATATTAGAGATGAATGGCCTGGATACTTAATATTCCATGGCCTGTTTTTGTTTATAGGGATTCCTGAGCTTGAAAGGAGCATTAGAAACATCTCCCTAGTGATGTAGGACACCTGGAAAGTGAGAGTAGGAGCCATAGAAACCCAGGAAAAAGCCTCAGACTCCCCAGATGAGGTGGTACTTTGATTAGGAGAGCCTTGGATATGCTCGCCACTGAGGCCAGGGGCACCTGTGCTGTGCCCAGTGAGACCTGCTGTTTTTATGTTATCACCTAAGGACTAGTGGAAGAGAATTTAGAGAGGATCAAGCAGCACATCCATCTCTTTAATGAGCTCACAGAAAGGGAAATGCAGGACTCCTGGCTGGGCCAGTTTGTCAAATACATCATGGGAGGGTGTGGCCCTGGTTGGCAGCCTTCATTCCCCTTCCTGGAGTGATATCATTTGCTCTCATATTTGGACCATGTCTACTTAGTCTTCTAATTAAATCTGTCACCTCTTATTTAGAGTCCATCAAGATCCAGATGGTGATGCAAATGGAACCCCCCATGACAGTCATCCCACATTTACCAGGGTTCACTAGATAGGCCACTCAGAGACAGAACCCAGACTCCTGTTCCCCAGGAGTTGCCCATTGTCCATAGGAAGCACCGGAAGCATCCCAAGTGGTCTTTGCCCTTCTCCCTAGTGACAGTGAGGGTTACCTCTTCTGAGGTGAGGTTAAGGAAGGTGGAACTCAGGCATATAAAGCTCAAGGCCCTGGTAAGGTAATGTCATGGTCAGGGCTTCACAGTAAACAAGAAGCCTCACTGGAAATCTGGGAAAATCAGCCAAAGAAAAAATGTGTTTTTCTCTTCCGTTTCATACCAACTTGCCATAGCAACAGGTTCCAGCAATAACTCCCAGTCACTTGCATGGTTTCTGTGCTGATAAACCCCAGACAATGCAGCTCTAATGGCATCCCCTCTTGGAGCCCTCCTGGGCAGTGGGAGTTTTACACTTCCCTTTTCACTTTTGATTAAAATTTTGCTGGTTGCTCATACTCTTGTCTGCTGACTTCATTCTTCATAGCCTCCAAGACACAATCCTGGGAAAGCAGCATCTTCACTGATAACAACTTCACATAAAACATGTCATTTAAAAATCATTTCTATGCAGGAAAAGCTAATGACTAAATCTACCTCTACTACTGTGGGGATACTTGCATTTGATAGGACAGATTTGTACCTGCTTTGTTTTGTTAATTGAAGATTCATGTGTAAAACCATTTCTGATTACAGTGTGTCTCACATAATGGTTTAATAAAAATAATATACCTTGCAGTATATTTGGGCTTGAGTATATTTTCCTTAAGGAAATTTCCATTTTTAATATATTAAAGGAGATGTAAAGCATTTAGAAATCAAGCATGGTTATCATATGTTTTCCTGTTGATCCTATTAGATACAGTTTCCTGTTAGTTAACCATGTTGGAATCAGCACCTCATGATGTTCACATAATTTTTATTATGATAGACTTTTTAATTTACCAAATAAATACTGAAAAATTATGTTTGCTTCTTTTATTCTGGGAATGTGACACATACCACCTTACTGTGGAATCACAGTAACTCATGGAAGTAGAATCTGTTTTGACCAGAGGTTTAAGGTGCATATTAAGAAAATTTTCAAATTGCACTAGTTTGCTGTCGAGACAAATCAAACCCAGGCCAGCACATTCCTGGATTCACTTTCTTTATTTCAGTAGCATACTTTGTGATCATTTTTATCCAGCTTTGTTCAAATATAATTGACACATGTACATTTAAGGTATAAAATGTGATGATTTGATGTATGTACATGTTACAAAATGATTGCCACATCCACCACTTCACATAACAACCACATTTTTATTGCAATGAGAAGATTTAAGATCTGCTCTTTAAGCAAGTTTCAAGCATACAATGCCTAATTATTAACTGTATTTACATGCTATATATTAGTTCTCCAGGATTTAGTCATCTTATAGCTATAAAATGGTACCTTTGACCAATTTCACTTACCTTCCACCCCTATTTCCAGCACTGGGAAATAAGAATGTACTTCCAGTTTCTATAAATCATTTGCTTTTTATTTATATTCCACAGATAAGTGAGCTAATATATTATTTTTTATCTGTGTGATTCATTTCACAAAATTATTTATACATGTCACAAATGACAAGATTTTTTTGGCTATATATATTCTTTCCTTTTTACTTTTTAATTGAATTATTGTTGACATACAATCTTGTATTGGTTTCAAATATACACACAGTTCCACATATAATTATATCCTCACCCCATGACTGGAGTTATTACCTATCAACTTATAAATATGTTGCAGAATCATTGACAATATTCTCCATGCTATACTACCACCCCTGTGTGCATATGTGTACATATATATGTATATAACACACACACACACACACACACACACACATATATATATGTATATAACACACACACACACACACACACATATATATACATGACAACTTATTAGTCTACTCACATCTTGATGGACACTTTTGTTGTTTGCATGTCTGGCTGTTATAAATAGTGCTGCAATGAGCACAGAGGGCAGATACCTCTTTGACAAAGTGATTCCATTTCCTTCAGTTACCTACCCACTTAACCTGTCAAATAGGTCAGTGTTCAGTTGTTCCTAGCAGACTTTTGAAGAAAGGTCACCAATATGCTTGTCAATGTCAAACAGAGATTTTTGTATTATAATTTTGGTTATAAATAATTGTCTATCGTGTGCATAGAAAAGACACTGGTCATTACCACACGGGAGGGTGGTTAAGGGATTGCTGAACTACTGGAAGGAAGAAAAGTAGTGAGATTGTTTGACATCCTGATCTGGCTGATGGTGACATAACTGCATATATGTGTGTATATATATATATATACATGTCAAAATTCCTTTAAATCGACCCAGGAATTTGCATTTTATTGTATGTACTGCACCACACACAAAAAAGAAAAATAAACAAATAAATAAATGTCTGTCCAGAGAAGTTGATCAGAGCTAACCTCAACTTAAAGGAAGATAAATTAATCATTTTACATAAAACAATGTGCATTTAGAATGTTAGTATTTTCACATCCTACTTTGTATAACCAGGAATAAATGTAGTGATTTAGTAAAAGTTAGAGGCAGGTGCTATTCTCCACATAATGGTAGCTTCATTCATTTAGTAAGTGGTGTAAAAGGCCGGAGAGTTGAACCATGACACACGGCCTGGCCCAAGGCAGTGGGGCTATCTGAGCATCTCCAGCTCTCAGACTCAACCAGGGTTCACCCTTGCGGTTTGTGCAGCCACCTGATCTCTATCAACAACTACATAATAGACGAGTTAGGGAATTCCTGTAGGATGCAGCAGACATGGCCTCACTGCAAAGTCGTACAAAACATAGATTGCTAAAAATGTGGCTTTAATTACTGAGGCTAGTTCTGAGAGTATCTATGTTGTTGTAGGTACTACTAGGAATGGGAAAAATGTGTAAAATACACATCAGAGAACGTACCCTGTTCTTAACAGCATTTATTTTACATGATTTCAAGTGGACAAAGATGGATTATCAACTACAAAACAAAATAATAGGCAGGTGCATTGGTAAAGTCACTCCTAAACTTTCCTCAATTGCCATCTGTTTCTGTGGCACTTTCTGTGGACACTTATTGTTTTCCAATGAATCCTTCTGCTGCCTAATGAATGTGATGATGAAGCCTTCCTTGAACAGTTCAGAACTGAACTAGATGCCTTTTGCTCAAGAGTCCATGCATAGTTAGAGGACCCTAATTTCTTTAGACTCTTGCTTCTTAAAAGCTAAAGCCAAGTAACTCACCCTCCTCTTTGTCCGACTACATTGGGACTAACTTGAAAATAAGATACACCAAAGTCCCTAGAATATTGTTCCAGAAACATTATTCCAAATTTTTCACACTGCAAGTTTCAATCAAAGTTCATCAATCAAGTATCAACTATGAATCATCGTCCTGTGATGATCTTGCAACAACATAAATTGTAAAACACTTCTCTGCCTCACTGATGTCCAATATGAAGCATGCACCTCTGTTAGAGTTTAAGAAATGTATTATTTCCCCAACACTCTCAGATATAGTTAAAATATTTTCTGTACGTCTTTAATCAGAACTCTTTCCAGAGCTGCCTTCATATCCTTATTTCTCAGGCTGTATATGATGGGGTTCATGACTGGAGACAATATAGTATAAGAAACAGACAAAAGGAGGTCCAGGATGGTCTGAGAGGGGGAGGGTGGCTTCAAGTAGGCCAAGGCAGCTGTGAAAGTGAACAGCGCCACAACCACCAGATGAGGGATGCATGTGGACAGGGTTTTGGACCTTCCCTCCTTGGAGGAGATCTTCAGGACAGCAGAGAAGATGTTAACATAGGAATATGAAATGTAGGTGAAACACATTATTATTATAATTACAGCTATTAATGACACTGAAGCTTCATCTATGTTCATTCTGGGGTCTGAGATCACCATAATCTGAGGGATATCACAGAAGAAATGATGGATTTTATTGGAACTGAAATTTGTTGAAAATGTCGCTGAAGCGTGCATGGCTCCATAAACCAATGCACTGACATATGAAGCCACCACCATCCGCCCACAGGCCCCCTTGTTCATGATGGTCTCATAATGCAGTGGGCGGCAGACAGCCACATAGCGGTCATAGGACATCACTGTGAGGATGGCAAATTCAGCAGCACCAAAACCTGCAAAGAACAGCACCTGGAAAACACACCCAAGGAAGGATATTGTGCTCCTGTTCATCAGGGAGTTGAGAGAAAATTTAGGAACAGTGACAGAGATGTAGCAGAGATCTATGAGGGACAGGTTCTTCAGGAAGAAATACATGGGTGTGTGAAGCAGAGGATCCCAATTAATAAGCATGATGATGAGTCCATTTCCTAACAGAGCTGCCAGGTAGACCATGAGGAACAGGATGCCCTGTAGGGTTTGCATCCTTGGGTCTTCAGACAATCCCAGAAGAAACTCAGTGACTCCTGTGCTAGTGTAGTTGACCATCACATCCATGGTGTGGTCCCAAGTGTCACTGATGTAAATGAAGCACACATAAGCCACCAGGTGAAGGTGCCTCCATGTCCCAACTGCACACAAAAAAACAACAAACAAAAACGTATAAAACCGCCTTTGGAGTAAATAACAGGTAGCAAAGGCTAATTCTTCCTAAAATGTATATTAACATTTTTGTGCAGTGCAACTTAGCTGTTTTTAAAATGACAGCAAATTGCATGTTCTTATGAAGGAAATGGGTGTCTTGCAAAACTATTGCAATATAAAACGTGAATCACTGAGAATCTGCTGTAATCAGGAAGCGCCTCTCCATTACATTGCCCTGTAGTGTTTCTTTTTAAAGCTGTAAACTCAAAACTTGCTTTATGTTCCTTGCTGCTTTGCCAGAACCATCCGTGTTCTCTGAATATGTTCATATATTAATAGAAGGTTGAAGTGTCCATAGTTACTGTTTCAAATATTATTATACTCATAAGCGAAACTGCATATATTAGGATTTTTTATAGAGGGCTACTCAGTTTTGTACTGTAATGGTAAATGAGACAAAAATATATACCCCCAACTGGAGGTGAAGAATAAACTACATGTATTCTTTCATAGGTCTGTAGCTCCATGTTATATCACTATAATATAGAGAACATAATGTGATAAACATTTGTTGAAAGATAAAATGTACAGATATTATATGCACATAGTAAGAAGTCAATAACATAGTGCAAGTTTTTGTTACACTTTCCTACAATGAAAATGCTGGCTTATGGACAGGGTTATCCCACATAGTGGGTTTGTGATCTAATGTGTCCACAGTGGTTTTAAGTCACACAGAAGTCCTGGCATTGTGGATATTGCCTCTGCCAGTCACCTGCCAAAGTAATAGAACCTTGCACACACTTCTCCACCTTAAGGATCCTCTTCTGCCAAAAAAAAAAGGAGTAAATAGAGGCAGGTCCTCATAGGGGGCTTTGGAGCATTAAGTCAGATCAAACATAAGGAGACTGGATTATTTCATTTATTCCTTACGGTGTATCAAGGATTTTATTCTAGGAGAACACAAATGCAATGGCTCCATGTAATTAAACAATAGCAGGACTCGGATTTGCCCAACTCCTGGACAAACTCTGTGCTGGCGCTGGAATATGTAGAATGACATGGACAAAAAATATGTAACTTTTTAAAGTACTTCCAGCACATATTACATGTTAAGGTAATAGGTATGGGTACTGTGCAATTTGGTGGTGGCAAAAGGTAAACCACATACTTTACTGCCATTTCCCTTGTTGGTGTACATATACACATACATGTTTGTTTAAAATATTGATGAATTGGTACACTGTGGTTGTCCTGTTTATCAAAATAAAACTGAAGATTTTGTTGTTTTTCAATGATGACTTTTTCATTGTATGTATGTAACACATCTTTTTTAACCTTTCGTCATGAAAGGACATTTAGGTGTGTCAGTATCCTGCCTGTCGTGAATAATGCCGCTGACCCTGGGAGTGAAGGGAGGACATTTATAATAGAAATGTTTCCCTAAAGGTACTTTCCCCAACACACTGCACTGTATTTTCTGTTCATCCACTTTTAATATACTAAATGTTTTATTTATTTTCTATGACCACGAGTATAACAAAATATTTATTCATTATTGTATTTTCTAAAACCAGACAGAACCAGCCAAAAAATAGCTGGGTCATAGATATTTGTGGAATTATAACACATGAATGAATAGATATAAATACATCAACAGAGCTATTTTTATTTTCTAGAAATCATATGGTTTGAATTTCTTTTTTATCAAAATTTAGCTCTAAGCTTGCTTTCTGGTTTTATACCTTTAAGTAGATGTGTCATCATAGATGATATTTCTTATCATAATTTATGCAAAATGTATCAAATTACTGCATAATTTCATATCACATAACATAATTTACTTGCTTTTGAATAGATTTTATTTATAGTTCACTATTAACTTTTCATTATCTGGGTTTTAATACTATGTTGAAATAAATTGGAACCTTCAAATGTACAAAATTCTAATTGATACTCTATGATGACGAAGAGCACTTGGAAGTGACCAGAACTGTATAAAATGAGAGAAATATTTTTCCACTTCAACAGACAATGGCACATCCAACTATGGGGAGTTTTCTTACATGATAGTTATGTGTCAGTCTGTGATGTGATGATTTTTTTATAGAAGGTTCCTCTATTTTTCCACAGCTTTGTCACATTCATGTGTGGATTTGAAGCTGTTGTTCTTTATACTGGCTTCACATTCTGAGAAAATAATAGAAAAAAACATATTTGGTACCAACCTTGAAACAGAAAGGACAACTATCAATCACAAGAGGATGGAGACTCTCAGCAGATCTGAGCAGTGATTGGCCTCCTGCAACAAGATATGAACTGAGTTGCCTAACACGTCACATCTTTTCAAGACCAGAACCAGCCAGGAGGGATGTGATTAGAGACCAGAGTCCAGGAGAGACCTGGAAACTAAACAAGTTCATCAGGTTAATTAAGCCCATGGGAAACAGACAGTATAATGTTAAATTTTGTGCAATAATTGAAGTGGTACTAGTGGCAGAGGGTGACTCAGAAAGGGGAGAAAGTAATGAAAACTCATTTTAAGTGACATCAAGGCAAAGACTCACAGAGATACAATCCATCCTTAGAGCATAGATCAACGCAGAACTGCCCCATGGAAACTTCACTGAACACTTGGCTTCTGATAAGGCATTTTATACAACACAAGCTAACAGCTGTATCTACGTCTGCTACAGTAGAGTTATTATTAATTTTAGGGGCACAACTTATGCCTTCCTTGAGTGATTAAATGAAGTTTTATATCTAATATCCTTTTCCAATTTCAATGTGTGTTGGGTAATATTTTAATAAAAATTATATACCTTGGAAATTACATATAGTTGAACTTGAATTTATTTTCTGAAAGGAAATTTCAATTTTTAGTAAACTTGAGGTAGTGCAATTAGATATCTAGGATGGTTTTCATAAGTTGTACCACTGATCTTTTAATATACAACTTCTGATTTGTTAACCACATTGGTATAAAGAACTCATAATTTTCATATAATTTTTATTATGACAGACATTTTAATTCATCATATAAATAGTGGAAGATTATGTTTGCTTATTTGATTCCAGGAATGTGACACATGCCACCTTACTGTGGAATCACAGTACCTCATACAGGTAGAATATGTTTTCAAAAGAAAGGTAAAGGTACAAGTTAAGAAAATTGCCCATTTGCACAAGTTCACTTTGGAGCCAAATCAAACTCAGGCTCTACTGAATTCACTCGCATTGATTCAGGAACATATTGTGTGATCATTATTATCCAGCCATACTCAAATATAATGGACACATATATATTAAGGTGTTAAATGGGATGATTTGATGAGTGTACATTACAAAATGATTACAACGTGAGGTACAACATACAGCACTGCACATCATAACTGCATTTTTACTGTAATGAGAAGGTTTGAAATCTACTCTTTTAGCAATTTGCAAGAATACAATGCATAAGTATTAACTGTAGTCATGTGCTGTATATTAGATCTCCAGGATTTAGTGAACTTATACCTGGAATTCGATGCTTTGAGCCCCTTCATCTAGCCTCACACTCCCATTTCCAGCTCTAGAATATACAATGTATCATTTGATTTTTATTTATGTTCCACATGCAAGTGAACAAACATACTATTTTTTTCTGTGTGACTTATTTCACAAAGCAGAATATCCTCCATGTTTACCCATGATGTCACAAATGACAATATTTCCTTCTTTACCGCTGTATCATATTCCACTGTGTGTGCGATATATCACAATTTCTTAGGACATAAATATGTTGATGGAAACTTCTGTTGTTAACATGTCACTGTTATAAAAAGTGCTGCAATGAGCATAGAGGGCAGATAGTTCTTTGACACAGTGACTTCCTTTCCTTCAGATATGTACCCACCTCCATTGTCAAACAGGTCAGTGCAGAGATGCTCACTGTGGGATTCTGAAGGAGACTCACCAATGCATTTCTCAAAGGCAACCATATAGGTCTGCAATATCATCTTGAATATGAATTTCAATCCATCACTTGGACAGTGAAGACACTGGTGGTTGCCACAGGTGAGGGTGGTGAGGGACTGATGAGCTAAGGGAAGGCAAAAAGATTCTGCTATCACTTCACATCTTGACCTGGGGGATGGTAACCTGAGTGTATATATGCATGACTGAATTCATTTAACTCAACTCTAGAATTTGTGCATTTTATTTTATGCACTTCACAAAAAGTAAAAACAAGTCAATAAATAAGTATTCTGTCCCGAGAATGCCCATTTTATTCAGAGCTAACGTCAACTTAAAGAAAGATAAATTAATCATTTTACATGAAACAATATGCACATAGAATGTTTAAGTATTTTCATGTGCTACTTTGTATAATCAGGAATAAATGTAGCGATTAGTAATAATGAGAGGCAGGTGTTATTCTCAATGTAACAGTAGCTTTATTCACTTAGTAACTAGAAGAGATGGGCTGGAGAGCTGAAATGGCCTGGCCCAGGCAGCAGAGCCATCTGAGCATCTCCATCTCTCAGACTCAACCAGGGGCTCACCCTTGTGGTTTGTGCAGCCACCTGAACTCTATCAACAATTACAGAATAGACGAGTTAGGGAATTTTTGTAGGATGCTACAGACATGGCCTCACTGCATAGCCATACAAAACATAGATTGTTGAAAATGTGGCTTTTATCACTGAAACTAGATGTGAGAGTTTCTATGTTGTTGTAGGTACTACAAGGAACAGGGAAATGTGTGAAATGCACATGTAAGAGAATACATCCTGTTCTTAACAATTTTTATTTTCTGCAGACAGAGATGGTTCATTGACTACAAAACAAAACAATGGGCAGATGCATTGGTTAAGTCACTCCTCAACTTGGCTCCATTGCAGTCTGATTCTATGGCACTTTCTGTGGACACTTGTGGTTTTGCAATGAATCTCTCTGCTCCACTAAAGAGAGTGATGATGGAGATTTCTGGAACAATTCAGAACTGAAATAGGTGCTCTTTGCTGAGGAGTTCACAATACTAAGAGGACCCTAACGTTTTTAGACTCGTGGTTCTGAAGAGCAAAACCAAACAACTCGACCTCATCCTTCTAATCCCACTAAGTTGGGAGTAACCTATAAATGGGCTCCACCAATGTCTCGAATATTATTCCATAAACATTGTTCTAATGACTTAAATAGTGCAAGTTTCAATCAAGGTACATGAATCAAGGCTCAACTGTGAATCATCATCCAGTGATGATTTTGCAACCACATAAACTGTAAAACACTTTTCTGCCTCACTGATGTCCAATATGAAGCGTGCACCTCTGTTAGAATTTAAGAAATGTATTATTTCCCCAGCACTGTCAAATATAGTTAAAATATTTTCTGTACTTCTTTAATCAGAACTCTTTCCAGAGATGCCTTCATATCCTTATTTCTCAGGCTGTATGTGATGGGGTTCATGATTGGAGATAACACACTATAAGAAACAGACAAAAGGTGGTCCAGGATGGTCTGAGAGGGGGAGGGTGGCTTCAAGTAGGCCAAGGCAGCTGTGAAAGTGAACAATGACACAACCACCAGATGAGGGATGCAGGTGGACAGGGTTTTGAACCTTCCCTCCTCGGAGGAGATCTTCAGGACAGCAGACAAGATGCTGACATAGGAATATGATATGGAGGTGAAACACATTATTGTCATAATTGCAGCTATTAATGTCACTGATGCTTCATTTTGGAATTTGAGATCAAAATAATCTGAGAGATATAACAGATGAAATGATGGATTTTATTGGAACTGAAATTTGTCAAAAACGTCGCTGAAGTGTGCATGGCTCCATAAACCAATGCACTGACATATGAAGCCACCACCATCCGCCCACAGGCCCCCTTGTTCATGATGGTCTCATAATGCTGCGGGCGGCAGATGGCCACATAGCGGTCATAGGACATCACTGTGAGGATGGCAAATTCAGCAGCACCAAAACCTGAAAAGAACAGCAGCTGGAAAACACACCTGAGGAAAGATATTGTGTTCTTGTTCATCAGGGAGTTGAGAGCAATTTTAGGAACAGTGACAGAAATGTAGCAGAGGTCTATGAGGGACAGGTTCTTCAGGAAGAAGTACATGGGTGTGTGAAGTTGAGGGTATGAAGTAATGACTATGATTATGAGTCCATTACCTATCAGGGCTGCTAGGTAATCCACAAGGAACAGGAATCCAATAAGGTTTTGTATCCTCGAGTGCTCAGAGAATCCCAGAAGGAGAAACTCAGTGACTCCTGTGTAGTTGACCATCACATCCACTGTATGTTCCCAAGTGTCAGTGCTGTAAATCGAGCGCACACGAGACACTGGGCGAAGGTGCCTCCATGTCCCAACTACACAGAAAAAAACAGCTTTGGAAGTGAAATTAGATGTGTAGAAGGCTAATGAATCCTAAAATGCATTTTAACCATTTTGTGGAATGTAGTATTGCTGTTTTTACAATGAGAGCAAATAATAAATTTTTATGTAGGAGAAAGTGTCACTTACAAAGTTAATGAAATATAAATAGTGAATCAGTATGAATCTTCTGTAATCTGAGCCAGGAAACATCCTCTCTATTATTTTATCTAACTGTGTAATATTTTATTTTGTGTTACATTTTATTGTGCTTAAAATTAATTAAATGTCTTTAAGGCACTTTTTCAATGGGAACTTGACATTATAACAATGCACCATTTTTGGCAAAGATTTTCCTGTTGGCAGGCATCTAGGGTGTTTTCTGATATTTTTCCAATACATTTAACAGTGTGAGTATAGGATACCCATTATCATCATTTACTAGGCAATCAGTTACTTAACATTTTAGTATGACATGAAGAAAAGAAGTCATAATTGGGAAAAGACAATATCATCTCCCTTTTTTGGGTAGATGATGATGGCAACATATGAAATCCATGATAAATGATAAATATTACATTAGAATGAATATGAGAATCCAACAACGTTGTTGGGTCCAAGATCGACATTTAAAAAAATCAGTGGTATTCTTGTATACCAACAAAGCCAATTAGAAAATTACATTTGTAAATTCAGTTTAATCCAAAGCCCAAGAGGCATTTTAGAGAACCTTAATAACTTATCCTAAAATTCATATGGAAGCATATGCTTCATTTTCTATTATCGTGGGCTCCTGATCAATGCTATCATATGATATACATTATCTTCAGTGTCTTGCTATTTTAACCTAATGTTATTATTTTTTCTGAGATTCATCTTAATATATAGATATTTAAAAATGTGAACCTCAATACTTGTCCTCAGGTTCCTTGATGCTTTTCCAGGGCTGCTTATGTTCCCCAAATACATTCCTGTATTAACAAAAGGTTGAAATATCGATAATTAGTATTTCAAATATTAAGATATCCAATAATGAAATAAGGGATATATTAGGATTTTCCATAGAGGGCTGCCAAAATGAGGATGGCATCATTGAAGGGGGCCACAACCCACATGCCACTAGAGGTAATGATTAAACTACACATATTCCTTCACAGGCTCAGGCTCCATGGTATGTCTCTGTGACACTGAGAATGTAATATGATAAGCTACAAATATTTCTTGAGAGATACAATGTATTGAAATTATGTGCACTTAGTAAGAAATCAATCATATTTCATGCCATGAAAATGCTGGCATAAGGACTGGCTTATCCCACCTAGTGGGTGTGTGATTTACTGTGCCTCACACTGATTTTAATCTTTGGTGGAGACAGAGTTCCTGGCATTGTGGACACTGATTCTGCCAGTCACCTGCCAAAGAAATGAAACCTCGTGTGGATCTTCCCACCTTACAGATCTTCATCTGCAGAAGAGGAGTAAACAGGTATCAAGAAACTCTCTTGGAAAGTGAATCTGAGCCCATAATTTTCTTATATACATTCCTCCATTCTATACCAATGGCCAGTTTCCTCCACATCAGCTTAGGGAGTTTTATACTTTCATGGGGATTATGTGTCAGCCTACAATGCACTGAATAAAAATTGATATGGTTGCTCTTTTCTTTATTACGTACAAGTCACTTTTATATTTGGGTATGAAAGCATTGTTCTACATAGCTCCAACAATTCTGAAAAGATTAAAACATACAGTTACATTTGGATACCAACTTCAGAATGGAGACACAACTTTCTGTCACAGAGAGCATGGGAAGCAGTGGCAGATCTGAGCAGTGCGTCACCTCCTGGCACACTGTGGACTCTGAGTCCAAGCAGTATCCTAACATTTCACTTCTTTTCAAGGCCTGGAACTGCCAGGAGGGACAGGATTGGAGATAATCCAGTGGTGAGGTGGCTTAGAAATGAAGGGACTTCAGCATGTTGATTAAGCCCATGAGACCAGACAGGGTGCCTTACTCTTGTGTGAGCTGGAAGGGGGACAAAGCAATGAAGAGTCCATGTAGAAAAGATTTGAAGTGACATCAAGGTAAAGACTACTGCATACCCAAAAAGTCATTAGAGCAGAAGAAATGCATACCCTCCAATGGAAACTTCATCCAAATATGTGTATAGAACATTTAAGACCCAACATCAAATCAAACAGACTGTTTAAAATGAGCATATATCTGAGTTGACATTTTTCTACAGAAGGCATACAAGGGGCCAACAGTTTTATGAGGAGGTGCTTAGTAGCACTTACATTATGAACATGCAAATTATAACTACAATATTACCTCACAAATATTATATGGGCTATTACCAAAATTCAGAAGATTGTAAGGGTTGCTGTGGGTGTGGATAAAAAGTACACTTAGTACACTCTTGGTGGGAAGGTAAATTGGCACAGACTCAAGTCAAAACAACATGGTAACCCCTCCAAAATAAAAACTGGGACTACCATATGATCCAGCAATCCCTCTTCCGGACATGTACATGGTGGATATTAAGTAGCTCTCATGAAAGTTAGAGCTACCTGCATGTCACTTCAGTGTTATTTACCCCCTCCAAGGCATGGAAACTACTTTTAAGTGTGCATCACAGACGAATGGCTTTGGTGGCCCACACAGTGGATATACTGGAATGTCTATAATTTATGATTATTTTATTTTCCCCCTTTATTGACTATTTATCATATAGTGACATTCTTAGTTTCTGTGACAGTTTTTGACAAAGCTTATATCCTTTGATAGCTGTACAACCCACCCCCTATTCTTTTGTGGTTTCCATTTGTATGAAATATAGTTTTCCATCTCCTCACTTTAATGTGATGTGTGTCTTTGGGCTTCAGTGACTCTCTTGTAGGGAACATGTAGTTGGGCCTTTATTTTTAAATCCATTCATCCTCTCCAAGTTATCTAATGTCTCTTTGCAATTTGTAATTTATAATTCTTCACATATTGTGTTGAAAGTTAAAATTTTAAGTTTGTGAAAAGGAACATCAAAGTCCTATAAATCGGTGGCTGAACCAAGATGGCAACGTGAGTAATTCAGTGGAAATCTCCTCCCAAATACATATATATTTATGAAAATACAATAGATACAACTATTCCTAAAAGAGACACCAGTGGATACAGTACAACAGACAGGATACGTCTACATATGCGAAAATTCAACATCACACGAACGGGGTAAGTTACCCAAACGCTCCCCCACCTCAGAACCCAGCAGGAAGAAAGGAGTCAGAATGGGGAGGGACTGAAAGTTCAGGACTGCTAAACAACCAGCTCTAGATATCCGCACCCAGAGCACAAACACAAGGTGCACGGGGTGCTGCTTATTAGAGAAACGGAAAAGCAAAATCTGCAGGCAGGTCCCCGTAACCAGTGCCCCTGAGAAAAAAGAAAAGCAAGTGCTTTTTGTAGGTCTTAAAGAGACAGGGACCCTACGGTTGGATGAAATTGTCCTGGCACACTTAGCCAGCAGCCAGGGAATCCTGGGGAACTTAAGGAATCCTAATTCCCTGGACTGCAGCATGGCTCTGAAGCCAGTCACAGCACTAAGCAGGCAGCCAGTAGCTCCCTCAACTGGCACGGACCCTGACACACCTGCCCAGAAGTGGGAGAGTGACAGTACACCCCGGGGGTGGCAGCACCAGAGGGAAACAGGACTGGCTCATGCATGCTGGTGGCACCAAAGGTGACTGGGAGCAGCCTGAGCCTGAAGCAGGGGTGAGCAAGTGGCCTGGGAGCAGCCCATTGGAATCAGTGGTGGAGCAGCAGCCCAGGAGCAGCCACACTCCCAGCAGCTGACTGGAACCACAGCCCAACACACAATGGCCTGTGTCAGACCCAAAGGCTGCTACTGGTACTCAGCTGCCTGGCAGGGTCACCGCCATCGCTGAGGAGTGCACCTGGGGTGCCTGCCACCCCTGCAGAGCACTGTGCTGCTCTGATGGAGACCCCGCCCACAGCAGCTTAAGGGATGAACCCAATGGCTGCTCCAGGATTGCGGGTAACTGACACAGGTGGCAAGGAAGGGCAAGGCATCCAGCAAGCAGGAAAGGACTTTCTTCTCCCAGCTGGCACACCCACAACCTGCCTACAGCCACTGTTATCACCATGAAAAGGCAGAAAATTTAGTCCAGTCCAAAATAGTCTAGACAACCCCTGAATAGGATCTGCAGAGACAGACCTAACCAGTCTCCCTGAATAAGAATTCAAAATAAAAATCATAAACATGCTGATGGATCTGAAGATAAATATGCAAGAGCTGAAGGAGCAAGTACAGAGGGAGACTAAAGAAATAAAACAATTGGAAGGACTTAAAAGCAGAATGGACAGGATGCAAGAGGCCATTAATGGATTAGAAACTAGAGAACAGGAAGGCATAGAAGCTGATGCAGAGAGAGATCAAAGGATCTCCCAAAATGAAACAACATTAAGAGAACTGTGTGACCAATCCAAAAGGAACAATATCTGCATTAGAGGGGTACCATAAGAAGAGAGAGAAAAAGGGATAGAAAGTGTACTTGAAGAAATAATTACTGAGAGCTTCCCCAAACTGGGGGAGGAAATAGTTGCTCAGACAACAGAAGCACACAGAACTCCCAACAGAAGAGACCCAAAGAGGACAACACCAAGACACATAATAATTAAAATGGCAAAGATCAAGGACAAGGAGAGAGAATTAAAGGCAGTCAGAGAGAAAAAAGGTCACCTACAATGGAAAACCCATCAGGCTATCATCAGACTTCTCAACAGAAACCTTACAGGCCAGAAGAGAATGGCATGATATATTTAATGCAATGAAACAGAAGGACCATGAACCAAGGATACTGTATCCAGCTCGATTGCCATTTAAATATGAAGGAGGGATTAAACAATTCCCAGACAAGCAAAAGGTGAGGGAATTTGTCTCCCACAAAACACCTCTGCAGGCTATTTTAGAGGAACTTCTCTA